GAACAATTCATATAAAACAGTACAGTATATTTGGATTGCCAGACGCAAGACTAAAGAATTGTAGTACACTATCAATTCGTTAACTCATTACTCTTTTCTTGTTTCAACAAATAGAAAGACAAAAGAGTATTTTTTATGATGATTCAGAAGCGAACTGATAAGAAGTTGGAAAAACAATCTCACTCTTGCAGACTTTCACATCATGCCGATGTAAGAATGCACTTTAGACAAGTTGCTGGTAGGTGAATCAAAGACAAGTTTTAACTATTGAAGAAGACTTATACAAGGCAAGTGACATAAATAGGAGTAAGTTCATTGTGCATTCTCAAGTTGAATTTGGCTTGGATAGTGTTGATAGAATGAAATGGGTTGTTTGAATTACAGTATATTGTCTGTCCATTTTTCATAAGTCTTTTTTTCCCTCAAGTTGTTTTATACTAGCACACGAAAACTATCCCATATGTTAGTGGAGTTATTCATATCTTAGACTTTGTTTCATATAGTATTTATATATCGTCGATAGTCTCTTTAGTAGCAAATGCACAATGATCATATGGATTTATTAAAAGAATTTACTCAAGTAGGTTTGACCAACAAAACACCAACTAGTACTAGTAGTCAGTTATCTTAACGCAAAAAGGATAACCTAGCTGATAGTTTCCTTGGCAAGAATCATAATGAGAGAAAATTCCTACATTCTCTTTTCATAGCTGCAGATAGCTTTTACTATATAACAAGTCGTCGACCACAGCTCATTGGAGTGCATTCTTTTTACAAATTACTAAATAATGGATCATATTGCTATTCTATTCTGTGAGACGAGAGTTTTGATTTTGTTATAGGGTGTGATTCTGCAAAATATGATGAGCGCCAGTATACAATACACAATTTTTAGTGATTTTTTCTGCTAATGGGAAAGATGGGCAATTTGAAAAGAGAGGCCGATTGAAAATGGGCCCGCGCAATTTTGATTTGAAAATTGCCATTCTGGGTGTGGGGTGGGAAAGAATGGGTAAATTGGAAATGGGAGAGAGTGGGGAAATTGCGATGGGGGAAAATGGGTGGGGAAAGGGGCCAATTTGGGCCAACCCCAAGGTGATCGTGATTTGAAATTGCCATTGTGGGGGTGGGCTGAGGGAAGAATGGGTAAATTGGATTGGAAATGGGAGGGGAAATTGTGATGGGGAAAATGGGTGGGGAAAGGGGGCCTATTGGGGCCAACCCCAAGGTTATCGTGATTTGAAATTGCCATTGTAGTGGGCTGGGGAAGAATGGGCCCACTTGGAGATGGGAGGGGAAATTTCGGTGGAGGAAAATGGATGGGGAAAAAGGGGTGCGAGGAAATTGAAGAGGGACCAACCCAAAGGCGATTGTGTTGATTTGAAAATTGCTATTGTGGCGGGCTGGGAAGAATGGGTAAATTAGAAATGGGGGGCATTTGAAATTGAGGACAGTGTGCAAAGAGGACTGAGTGTGAATTGAAAATCTTGGGAGAATCCGTACAGGAAGAGTGTTTGAAAAATACCAATTCGAAAAACAAAAGATTGAAATTTGAACTTCAGTTATATTTTATGAGATAGTAGTAGTAGAAAGTTCAATTACATACTGTTCACATAATGTTTCCATGCTTTCATAATACACTTTTACTCTAAAATAATCTTCTTATTAAATTCCTAAAGAAAAAATAATAACAATTTAATATAGTTAATTGAAACATTGAAAACATTATTAAAAACTTTAATCATTGACTTAATTTTTAACTGTTACAATTCAATGTTCAAAGTAAATATTATATAAACACATAAAACTCAACAAAGCAAAAAAAGAATTTATTTTAAAGACAACATTTATACAGTATCCACTAAATTGACAAAAATTAATAATTTTTAGTTTAGTTTTACAATATTTACTAAAAATATACACAACAAAAATAAAAACGATCAGCAAAATTTGATAGCGACCTTGACAAAAAATTATAAACACGCAATAAACTTAAAGTTTGTTCTTCAAAAATTAATAACTTTAAAAGTGAAAACCAGTGTATCAGCGAAATGAGTGCATAGTCGTAGAATGTATAAAAAAAAGGTGTTTTACTCAAAGAAATAGACATATTGAAAAGGACCAAGTAGATGGTTCAAAAAAATAGTAAACGAACTGAAAAAAACAAAGAATTGCATTTGGTAAATTGTCATTTGATGAGAGAGTATGTATGGGGGAATGAAATGGTCGATTGCGGGTAAAGGATGGTAGTGCAACTTTGGTTTGAAAATTGTCATGGGGGAGTGTTGATGGAGGAAAGAAGGGGCCAATTGGAAATGTGAGAGGGTTGGGGGTCAATTGTGATTTAGAAAATGAGCATGGGGGGAAAATGAGTTGGAGGAAGGATTGGGGCCAAATTGGAGAGGGGTCAATTCGAAGTTTGGATGGGCAATTATGATTTAAAGATTGCCATGGGGGAAAATGAGTGGAGGGGAGGAAGGATTGCGGGCGAAATTGGAGAGGGGTCAATTCGAAATGTGAATGGGCAATTGTGATTTGAAAATGTGCATGGGGGAAAATGAGTGGGAGGAAGGATTGGGGCCAATTGGGAAGAAAGGGGGCCAACCCAACAGCGATTTAGATTTGGATTTACCATTATGAATGATGGGGAATAATGGGTAAATTGGAAATGGGAAGGGGCATTGAAACTGTCAGGGCAGTGTCTGACAAGGACAGGGTGGTTTGAATTGAGGAATTTAGGAAAATATGATAAGGGTGTTCGAGGAGTTTAAGTTCCAAAAGTAGAAGATTTCAAGTCGAACTTGATTCATATTTTATGAGATGGAGGTAGTAGTAAGATTGACGACATACTGTTCACGCAATATTTCTATATTTTCATAGTCGAACTTCAGTCCAAAATAATCTTTTTTAAACTTAATAAAACTATGCTAACAAAATACTATAGTTAAAGCATTGAAAAAATAAAAAAATTTATTACCGCCTTGATTTTCAACGCTTATATGTCAATGGTTCAAAGTAAATTCTATTTCGACACAATAAATTGAATAAAGTAAAAAAAATTTACTAAAAAAAAAAAATAATAAAGTAGCTGCTTAATGGGAAATAGAAGATAATTTTTTGTTTCAAAATAGTTACTAAAAATAATAAACTAAAATTAATCTTAACATAAACAAAAAAGATAAGAATCATACAATAACTTAAAAATTTAATTTTAAAACATCAATAAATTGCAAAATAGATACCAATCTATGCGAGCGATAAGACACAATTTTAAATGATACACAAAAAGAAGTTGCATTTAAGGAATCAAAAGATGTCCAAAAATAATAAGTAGGATACAGTTTAGAAATAAAAATAATAGAAGTAAACCGAGAAAACCAAAAATTGCAATAACTTTACTTTTTCAAAAGTAGAGTAATTGTGTA